GGAAAAACATACCTTGCCCATGGATAGGAAGATTCAACTTTGTGAAAAATGTCAATTCTACCCAATGTGATCTACGGATACAATGAAATCTTGATCCAAATTCCAACAGCATTTTAGAAATACAACTACACTGAAAGCCCGATACCTCAGTTGTATTCTAGTCCTGATGATTCTTCTATGATTTTGAGCAAAATCACCCAACCTTTCTGTTTTCTGGAATCAATCTCTTAAATTATGGGTGTAGCCTGGGGGCTCTCTGAGTAGCTTCTGGCAATTTATGATTGTTCTGATTATTTTGGACCTTCTCTCAGAAGTATTCACCTCCATGAAATTTATTAATGAAAATGTATGTGTGCAGACATACACATATAAGTTGTCACTTTAACCGTTGATAACTATGTAATCGAGACTCTAAAATAGTTTAATTTATTCATTTACATTAAGATATCAAAGTTTGGGAACATTTTTGCATACCAACACTGATCATATGTAATACCTCCTTGATGAAAAAAGTAACCAATGACCAACTGTCCAACCAAGGTTTTATGTCTTAGCAGTAATTATGTCTCAGTGAGAAAGTTTTTCTTTGGAAATTAGAAGACAGGGACAGCAGTGGAGGGAGAGAACTTTGGCAAGTGCATGTATTTAAGAGTCAAAGGATTTTGGAATGATGGAAGGAGTGAGGTTGCTGAGAAGTACTTTGCTTACATAACAATAGTGTCCACAGCTTTGAGAACAGATGTCATGCACCTCAAAAGCTCCTCTGTGATGCCAGCCAGGGGTTTTGGTGCACAAGTTGGAGTATCAGGGCTTGTCACTATGTCTGAAATCTTCAGCTTCCTGTTTTCATGGTGTTCCCCAGTCCTGCCCAGCACAGCCCAGTCATCTTCAATCTGACATCTATTTTGTCTCCCCACTCCACCCACGAAGAGAAGGAAAGTGATGAAAGGAGAAAAAAGACAAAAATACTACAAAGAGAAAATATATAAAAGAAAAAAAATTCTATATGCCAGTTTCCACAGTGAGGAGATAAGATCCAACATAGCCTCTTACCAGCCATCCTTTCTCTGGTGAAGTTAGTTTTGCCTTCATTGTATTAACTTGACATTTATGTCTTCCCTTTCCAGGGAACGCATTCCTCTTGAATCAATTTCCTTTATTCAGTTCTCAACTACTGAATAAGCAAGACCAAAGAAGAACTGATAACTTTGAAGTATTGTGTTGGCAAAGAGTATTGAATATACCTTGGACTGCCAGAGGAGCAAACAGTGTTTTGTTCTACTGTACATAATGTCAATAAAGAACCAACTTCACAGCACTGACAAACAGAAACAACCATCCAATAGGTCTGTGGTGGGAGGGGGCTGCTGAGCTCTGTGTTTTGAGAAAACATCCTAGAGTTCAAATTCTATGTAGGGATCAGAACTGCTGCCTTAGTATGTCAAGGATCTCCTGAATATTTTATTATAGCCAGAATGGATGTAAGGCTGGCAAAGGAGAAGGAAGTAAAAGGAGAGAGCAGAAATGATGAGGAGAAAAATGAAGAAAGTTTCATTGAGTTCCACAGAAGGATTCAGAAACATTTCTGATCAAAGGGCTTCAGCTGTTTAAGTCATACGAACATAGCAGGTCTATATCCCACTTTTCTGAGCCCTGGTCCAGAGTTTCTCAGTGTGCTTTGAAGGTAAACTAAGCCCAAATCAGATCTCAGCTCAGGTAGGGGGTGGGGTAGGGGTGAATAGGCAGGAGGATCTAACTTTTGGAGCTCTGATCTTGGAAGCCAAGAGAGTTCTGGTCCTTCCATTCTGCCCTTGGCACAATGGTGTGGGGGGTGGGGGCAGGTGGAATGTCACAGCCTGACCACCTGAAGAATTTGGAGGCAGGGAGACCTACTGAGTCGCAGGGTGATGAGTCTTGGAACCTGGGCAGGGAAGCAAACAAGGACATGGCAGCTGTGTCCCTAGTGTGGGCCTGCACATCAGGGGCATCCTGGATGCAGCAGGCTGTACCCTCCCTGAAAGTTTTGGTTCACACGAGACAGCTGATTAGATTTGTGTGGAGCAAACATGCTGAGTCTCCCAGGAGATTTGTATACTGGACTGATGCCCTCGAAGAACATCAACAAAAAAGTGAAGCAAATGGAAAAGTCTTGAAAAAGTTATCTATTAATGATTTAAATAAATATGAGAATATGTAGTAGCAAAAGTACCCTGGATTAACTCTTCAGTCTGAATGTAAAATATATATATGATGAAGTTTGAAGAATGTCTTCCTAAAAGAACATTTAAAATTAATACATAATACAATTTGAATGATTTTGATTTAAAGGAAACAAACGTCTCAAATTTCCATTGGCAGATTGTGTGTGTTGACACTGTCTCCCATTAAAGGTTTTGGATTTCTTTTAACATTTTTGTTATGGATTCAGTTATGACCACTTCAAAATATATGTCAACTTGGCTATGCCTGATTCTCAGTATCATATAATTATACTCCATTTTGTGATCCGATGTAATTGTCCTATCTTTAATAAATCCTAAACGTTGTGGTTAAGAGCCGGCTGCTAATCAAAAGTTCAGTAGTTCAAATCCACCCGCTGCTTCTTGGAAGCTCTATAGGGAAGTTTTACTCTGTCCTACAGGGTCACTGTGAGTTGGAATCAACTTGATGACAATGGGTTTTTAAAATCCGTGATGCTAATAAGGCAGGATTACAGGCAGTTACGTTAATGAGGCAGGATTAACTTGTATCTTGAATCAATCTCTTTTGACATATAAAAGAGTTTAAACAATCAAGCAGAGAGGGGAATCTCCTACCACCAAGAGAGAAGATCCAGGAACAGAGTTCCTCCTTCGGACCTGGGTTCCCTGTGCTGAGAGCATCCTAGACCCAGGGGAAGATTGACGCCAGGATACATGGAGATCTCCAAGGAACATAAAGCCCACAGATGTTGAAAGGACATAAGGACCTTCCTCAAGAGCTAACAAAGAAAGAGAAAGCGTTCCTCTAGAGATGGCACACTGAATTTGGACTTCTAACCTCCGCGATGGAGAGAGAATAAATTTCTATTTGTTAAAGCCAACCACTTGTGATATTTCTGTTACCAGCACTAGATCACTAAGACACCCTTACTTTATTTTCTCCTGTCTTGTTATGGAAAAAGTTGGACATTTGAGATTGATCTTCATGGAAGAGAACAGAGCAAGTAGGGATGAAAGCCGGTGTTTCCATCTCATTAGAATCAATATCAATATAGTACCATGACTGAGAGGCCAAAATTATTTGATGAACGTGTAACCTGAACCTGCAAATGCCAGTAAATTTCCATTAGTCCTTAAAATAGCCCAAGCCTGATTTGGCCCACCCCCATGAGCAGAAGGGCCAGTTGTGACCACTAATTGACTTCACCAGAGGACACAACAACAGGTGAATCAGAAGGAAAATCGGCACCCGGATCCTATTCTGAAGCAAGAGGTCTGACAAGAACCAAGTCAACTCCTATTTCCTGCCCACCTTCTAGAATGTTCCCTCCCCAGTACGCCTGTGTGTCCATCCTCTTGCTGACCAAATCACATAAAAGCCCTGCTTCCCTATAGCTCAGGAAGCTGGATCTGAGGAACTTCCTCCTGGAACCTTGCTGTGTGCATTTCAACAAAGTTACTTTCTCTTTCTCAAAGACTGGTGTCTAGATAACTGGTAAGTCTGAGCACAATGGACAAGGACCCATCTTCTAGGGTTCAGTAACAAACTTACAGTCACAGCCTTGAAAACCCTATAGATCAGTTATGCTCTGCAAGCAAGCGGTCAACATGAGTTGGAATCAACTGGAAGACAACTAAAAACAACAACAACAGCAAATCTGCAGAAACATAAAAGTTTTTGATTTGACTGCTAACTCAGATGATCTTTATCATCCACAAACAGGAAATTTAAGGGATGGCACCCTTGCTCCTGAATTGATTCATCATCAGGATTTAGTAGCTGGGAGGCAAAAGATGGTGAGTATGGTTATGAAAACTGTATGGATCACAACTGTCCAATTTGCATTGATCATGGGGATGGCACAGGACCTATAAGCACTTCCTTTGATTGGACACAGGGTCCACATGAATAAACGGCAGATAACAGCAACAACATGGTTAATATAAGAAATTCAAGCAAAATTGTGTTTCTTCCCAGCAAATTTTCTGATGATTCCAGAACTTCCCCTCTATCATTCTGTAATATTTGGCCTGGTATGATATTACTGTTTAGGCTGTCACTATCTCCTTTTTTCTCTTGTAGCGTAAGTGCCATTAAGAATAAAACATGATACTTTTGGATACCTGTTTCCCACTGCATATATTGTTCCATTCTTCTAGGTAAAGACCAATATCATCATTTCTTATCCTTTATTAATAGCTTATCTTCTCTTCCCAACTTCACTTTTTTGGAGACTCTACTACTTTCAAAACAGAACTTCCACTGCAGCACGGAAATCTCTAGACTAGATCTTAAACAACAAAGACTTCCTTATTCAACTTCAGGACAAAATCTAAATATAAAAATAATTTTGTTCAGTTCCTGAAATGCTCCAATATCACGCTATGTTTTAATAGTTAAAACCCTGTGGAAAACTTCACTATTCTTTGGTTCATGGAAATTGCAAGATATGTCCTCAGGGCCTCCCCTCCTCTTTGGTTGACCCCTTTTCTCTGGGGGCAAATGTGTAAGCGTGTCCCTTGACTGCCCTAGGACCCCAAGGGTGGGGCCCACTCTTTCCTGCCCTCTAATCGACACTCCCACCAGACTTAAATACATCCACAAACATCCTAGACACCCCTCTTATATGATCTAGAAGTTGCTAATATAAACAATACTCAAAAGGAACCAAACTGTTCAAAATATCCCTTTCTTCCCAGGTAAGCAACCTAAATGTAAGGAAATGACATTAATGGTGTAAATTAATACTACTCTATATTTAGGTACAGACACTCAAACACAAAAACCAATCCACTTACTTGTAATCGAATTTAAGCTTCCTGTGGTAATCTGGAAGTAACAGCATCGCCCCAACGAGACCATAAGCCTCTTTCACTGCTTTTAGGCATTCCCTGTTATGAGCGGCTAGAGCCTTGTAAGTTTCATCAAAGTACTCTAAGAATATGAAAAAAAAAAAAAAAGAAATCACTGCAATTAGTATAGTTTAATTGTAACCTTTATAAAATGTAATTATTTCAAGTTTTCAATTCCCTCTGTTTTTTGACAGTTAAAAACTGTAAAATTAAAGGATTTTGCCAGATTGCCAATAAAAGTCACTAGTAAACAGAAACTTATAACCATGCTCTGAAAATCCTGATCTAGTCATGAACTGGAACATGGTTTTAATATTTAAAGCAGGTAGGGAGAGACATGCCTCAATTTTACAGCTTTCAGATTTATTGGACTTGATAAGATTCTATCAAAACTACAGAAATATGAAATGGAATGATGATGGAATACTTATTTACCTTTGAAAAGTTTAAATATTAAAAGAAAATTTAACCAGAATGTATATCATTTTCTTTGGGATGAGGGGGGATTGTTTTTGTTTTTTCAAGAAAAACTTAAGTAAGGAGAACTCTTATACTTCATTCATTTAATGGGAAGACGTACGGACAGTCACAGGTAGTAGGAAGGAAAATTGATAAGCAACTTCAAAATAGGAAATTTTTGTCCTACAAAAATAGCTTTACTTTTAGGAAATAGCCAAATTATGAATATTTTCACTACCAAATCAACAGCTAAGATTTATCATATCACTTCCACCCATTAAGAAGCTATCAGCAATCATACAGCTTAGATATGGATACCAAATGCCAACTGTGGATGTCGTGAGAATCTTTCATAGAACTTTACCATATGCGGAGGGAGACAGACTCAAGGCAAGTTGGGTGCATCTGTGTTATGGGTCCACTTTTGTTAAGGTAATCACTGGCTTATAGATACTTTTATCATTATTTTATATATATATATATATATATATATATATATATATATAGGCATGTATACACATAAAAAAAAATGCCGTCAAGTCACTTCTGACGCATAGTGACCATCCAGGACAGAGTAGAACTGCCACATAAGATTTACAAGGAGCAGCTGTTGGATTCCAAATGCTGACCTTTTGGTTAGCAGCCAAGTGCTTAACCACTACACCACCAGGGCTCCGTATACACATATATACACCATAAAAACCAAATCAGTTGCCATCAAATCTACTTCCACTCATAGCAATCCTTTAGGCCAGAGTAGGACTGCCCCATAGGGTTTCCAAGGAGCAGCTGGTGGATTCGAAATGCCGATCTTCTGGTTAACAGCCTGAGCTCTAACCACGTCACCACCAGGGCTCCGCATATAGACATACTCACCATAAAAATCAGCTTTTGCTTGGACCGGTGCACTGCTGCTCACTACTGCAGCGAACAGGTTAGGGTGTTTTATTTTAGACCACACTGCCAGGGAGCCGCCATAACCGCCGCCAAATAAAACCCACTTATTTCCAGTGAGCCTCATTTCCTGTGCAACCTTAGTTCGGAATTCAGCAATGTCAGCCACGGCTTGCCTGCTGCTGAGGTAGCGGCGGAGGTTCGGAGTCCTCAGATCTCTAAAATTAAAGCATAAACACACTCTGTGACAATTAAAGTAGAAAATATGTTGTTTAACATTAGCCTGTCTATAAAGTGAAAAGGCATATTTTGAAAGGATGTGGAGTGTCTATTACAGATCCAACTTGAAAATGTCATTAGCATAATTTGAGTGATACCCAAACTAAAACCAAACCCATTGCCGTGGAGTCGATTCTGACTCAGCCAACCTGTAGGACAGAGTCGAACTGCCTCATAAGGTTTCCAAGGAGCCCCTGGTGGACTCGAACTGCCGACCTTTTGGTTAGAAGCGGTAGCTCTTAACCACTAGGCCACCAAGATTTCCAATTTGAGTGATAGTGATGCGTAAATGCAGGAAGTAGCAATAATTGCTAGTATATGTCTCATTTTAATTATGTCATTCCCTTGTCACCACTTCGAAGGACCTTCACGTGCCTTTCACCACCCATATGGTGTCTTTCTTCCAAACCCTGAAGTGAATCACAACTTTCAAATTATTATCCTGACTCAGAGAGGAGCCATTTTTGAATGGGCTAAACTGTCAGTAATTTAATTGTTTCCAATGGGATGTAATCGGAAAAATGTAGATGAGATTTATTGAAATATCTAATCATAGAATTCCCCCTACTTTCTAACAGCAAATTTTAGGGCAGATTCTCATATCCTTAGATTCTCCCCCAAATTACTCAAAGACCTTTTTATCTTGTGGGTTCTTTCTAAAACTCTTTTACTGGGATGCACCACACGAAGTTAATCTGGATATCAAACAAGGTATTTGCTGTAATTATATGCTGTAATAAAAGTTATTCCATTCTTGAACAGCAATTTAATTCCTTAGAGAGATTAATAAAGAAAGCCCAGACTTCAAACTATTTATACATTATCATAGCATCATTAACACACATACACACAGAAACTAAAGTTTCTAAAGAAGAAATGTAGAACTGTTGAAATTATTGGAGAGTCACCTCACTACCAAACGGTAAGTGTCATTGAATTTAAAATCACTTTTATGGAGTCACAGCCAGACAGCTAGATTAGTGATTAATTAATAATTAAATAGTTATATAATTACTAGTCTCTCATGATAAATGGTACCAAGAATTATGATTCATGTAATGAAGGGGTCACTTCACTGACACTAACCACATTTGCAGAGCTGTAAAAAGCAATCCTTACTTCTCATTGTAATGAGAATAAATGACTATGACATTAAATGAGATTTTTCATAACCTTAGAGGCATTTTTAAAACTTCGTTCTATATACTTGACTTCACATAATAAACAGTTTATAATTTTAAGCAAGCAAGCTGAAAATACATCTTTCCACTGGGGGATGGAACTAAAATAGTAAGTGGCAAGAATAAGATATCGAAACAAAAATCTGTCTCATATTCTTGCTTCTTTCTCTGCTACTGCAGCCTAAAATTTAATATGACATCCAGTTACCTTACGTGAGTTGTTTTAACAAAAGTGTGACCCTTGCTTTAAAGGAGAGGGTAATTTTCATGGTTTAAAATACTATTGGAGTAGGAAAAAAAAAAGTAATAGATACACCATATTGCTTACCACATACAGGAAAATACAATGTTTTAATAAAAAATTATATAACACGAGGAATATATTTTATTCAAAAGAAATTTCATATGAATCTTTTTATCAGAAAAGTTGTTCCTAGCCCTAACCTCCAGGCACAGTTTTATTTTTTTTCTTCGTTATCATTTAATTCTTCAAATATTCAGCTTACTGAAAGTGGAACATATATAGACTAATAAAGCCAAAATGAAAAAGAGCGAGAGAATAAAAACAGCAATGTGAACAATCACAAAAAGGGAAAGCTTAGACTTACGCTGTTGGCAGGCTGCTTCCATAAAATCTATGTTCCAGAAGAAAGCAGAGGGCGCCCAGTCTTTTAGCATATGTAATCCAGGTATAATTTTTATTTATCCATTGCATACTGGCAGGCCTCCGCCCTTCGATCATTAGAAATACTGGGCCACCAGGTTTGTAGAAGTCCTTATTGACATAAAACGTCTGTAAATGTAAAAATATTCTTGTAAGTCACTAACTTACCAGGCCTTGTGATTTGTTTGTGGGTTTCTGGTAACTGGGTGGCAGCACTTTTTCATGTGTGAGATTTGGGTCATGGACCTGAGAACCCGTCTAAAGCAGTGACATTACTCAAGCCACTGTGACTACACATTGGACAAATTTTATTTTTTGCTTTCGGTGGTAAAATAGACACAATATCAAACTGGTCATTTCAGTCATTTTCAAGTTTACAACCCAGTGGTATAAATCACACTCACAATGTGTAACTATCATTACTATTTGTTTACATTTCATGTTAATATTTCAAATTCAAATTTAGAATGTGAGATTCTTCTTTGATTTTATATTTGTGGCTTTTTTTTAACCCATAAGGTTTGGGTTCCTAACTACATTAGCATAAATATTTATTTGTTTTATACTAATAATATAGAGTAATACACTCATGAGCATAATAATACCAGTATTAAAAGGAGACCTGGTGGCACAATGGTTAAGAGCTTGGCTGCTAACTGAAACTTTAGCGTTTGAACCCACCGAGGCTGTGTGGGAGAAAAGATTTGGTGATCTGTTCCAGTAAAGATTACAGTCTAGGACATCATACAAGACAGTTGTACTCTGTAGTTGTGAGTTGCAATCAACTGGATGTCACCCAAAACAACAACAGCAACAATATTAAGACTGATAGTATGATTATCGAAAACCTTGATTTCTTTACAATTGTGTATGTGTGTCCTTAGAATTTATCACCCAAGAAACATAAAGTCAAAGTACTGAACTTTCTATTCACTTGAAAGAATTCCCTCTGGTTAAGCCACAGACTTAATAGAAAATGAGTTTCATTTCCTTCCTTTTATTTTCAACTTTTAACGGTTTTACTAGAAACATTTACATAGCTCCAAATGAAAATATGCAAAACAAAGTACAATCAGAGAAGGCTAGAATCATTTCTATTTCATAAACCATGTAACTTCTTTTCGTTATATGTAACCATGTTTACTAATTTATTCTTTCATTACTTTTTGTATATATATGGAAGCCCTGGTGGCCCAGTGGTTAAGAGTTCAGCTGCTAACCAAAAAGGTCAGCAGTTCTAATTCACCCGCCAGACTTTGGAAACTCTATGGGACAGTTCTACCCTGTCCTGTAGGATCACTATGAGTCAGAATAAACTCAATGGCAATGGGTTTGGTTTTCTAGTATATATATATTTTGACTTTCTTAGATAAGGTGCCACTCTGCTATTTTCACATAATATCATATCTTGGAGATCATTCCATAGCAATAATGATATCAATGATATCAACTCATCAACACCAAGATGTGACTCAGGAAATTATATTTACTTCAAAGAAAAAGAAAGGATTCTTCAGGCACTGAGGCAAAAAGTCCCACATAAGGAGTTATATATTTGGCTGGACTCAATCTGCTGCATAGCAACATGAAATGCTAGATGAGAGTTTATCAATGCATATGAATTCTGGGAAGAAAACTGACAACCAAGAATTATATACCTAGCTATTCAGACATCACACACGTATTAAAATTCCCAGGATATGATTCTAATAAACCCTTTTTTAAGAAGTTATTGTTACAAAGGGAGTGGGAGTGAAAATTAATGTATTTAAGTATAAGACTAGGCCTAAAACAACCTTGAAGTTATGGTTATTGAATAGAAAGAAATGTTACAAAATATGAAAGTTACTATATTCTGATCAAAGGTGGAAAATGTAGAACAGATTTTCAAATTCTCATGGAATCCAGACTTTATGGAGTCATGGAGGCTGGATGAACCCATGAAACTAATGCCCTGTGATAATCCTTAAACCTTAAATCAAAAATATCCCCTCAAGTCTTCTTAAGACCAAAGGATAGTTTAGCTTATGTAGTAAAGAATGTCTGCCTTGAGCATTGTGCTCTTTTAAGATCTATATAAATGTGATGAAATTGACAACAGCAACTCCAAAGAATAGATAGGAAACTTAGGGGGTAATGATTTTCTGTTTTTGGGGAAGGAACAACTCAGAAAAGTATGGTAAGAATATTTGCAAATTGCAAACGGTGGAATAGAAGTCACTGAATTGTTCATGTAGAAACTGTTGAATTGCTATATGTTTGGCTGTGTATATTCTCAAAAAAAACAACAAAATAAAGAAAATAAATTAAACAAATAAAAAATAAACATAAGGCTATAATATCAATAGCAAAAATAGGAAAGTAAAGGAGAGAAGGTGATAACTTATAGTACAAAGAGACAAAGGGCTTCATCTTTTATTTGTGTTAGGGAGAAGCACCAAGAATAACAATATAACCCATCAAAATGAGTTTATTGCACTATCTTGTTTTGTAGATTGGACTTTGGAACCATGTAAATATTTTAGGTAGTCATTAGACAAAAGTGAATTTCATAAAATATAGTTTTTTAGAATAATACAAAGGAAGAGGGAAGAAACGGTGTAGGTATAGAACCTTCTAATGGAGAGGAAGGCAAGACAATACCAAGTAATAATAGACTGCTTCAAACTTAGAAAGATAAGGGTAAATTTCACAGTAACCACAAAGAAAGTTAACAAACATAAAAATAAAGAGGAAAAACATAAAGTCTCAGTAAAAATAAAACCTACAAAAACAAAAGAAATGAAAAAATAATCCAGAAACAAAAGAAATTCAGCAGAGGAGAGTAAGAAGAACAAAGAAAATATTAGGACCACAAAAAAAGTGCTAAAAAATGCCAGCAATAAACCCACATCTATCAATAATTACACTGAATGAAATGGACTCAATTCACCCATAAAGAGATGGAGACTGACAGAATGGATAAAAAAACAGGATCCATCTATATGCTGTCTACAAGAGACACACCTTAGAAACAAAGACATGAATTTATTAAAAATCAAAGGCTGGAAAAAATATATATCAAGGTAACAACTTCTAACAAAGCGCAGGAGTGGCAATACTAATCTCAGATAAAATAGACTTTAAAACAATATCCACCATAAAAGACAAAGAAGGACACGACATAATGATTAAGGGGATGATCCATCAGGAAGACATAACCATAATAAACACCTACGCACCCAATGACAGGCTGCAAAATAAATAAAACAAACTCTAACAACAATGAAAAGAGTAACTGACAGTTCCCAATTAATAGTAGGAGACTTCAACACACCACTCTCAGTAAAGGACAGAACATCTAGAAAGAAACTCAGCAAAGATACAGAAGATCTAAAGGGCACAATCAGCCAACTAGACCTCATAGACATATATAGAACACTCCATCCAACCGCTGCCAAGTACACATTCTTTTCCAATGCACATGAAACGTTCTCCAGAATAGACCACAATTTATGCCACAGAGCAATCCTCAACAAGATCCAAAATGATGAGATAATACAAAGTATCTTCTCTAACCACAATGCCATCAAGGTAGAAATTAACAACAGAAAGAGCAAGGAAAAAAAATCAATTACATGGAAACTGAATAACACCCTGCTTACACATCAACAGGTAATAGAAGAAATTAGAGATGGAATCAAAAAATTCCTAGAAGCAAACGAGAATGAAAACACATCATACCAAAACATTTGGGACACAGCAAAGGCCGTCCTCAGAGGACAATTTACAACAATAGATACACACATCAGAAAAGAAGAAAGGGACAAAATCAAAACATTAACTACACAACTGAAACAAATAGAAAGAGAACAGCAGAAAAAGCCCATAGCCACCAGAAGAAAGGAAATAATAAACATCAGAGCAGAAATAAATGAAATAGAGAATAGAAAAACAATAGAAAGAATCAACAAAACCAAAAGTTGGTTCTTTGAAAGGATCAACGAAATTGACAAACTACTGGCCAGACTGACAAAAGTAAAACAGGAGACGATGCAAATATCCCAAATAAGAAATGAAATGGGTGACATTACAACAGACCCAACTGAAATAAAAAAGATCATAACAGAATATTATGAAAAACTATACTCCAACAAATTTGAAAACATAGAGGAAATGGATAAATTTCTAGAAACATCCTACCTAACCAAACTACAACAAAGTGATGTTGAAAATCTGAACAGATCCATAACAAGAGAAGAGATTGAAAATGTAATAAAACAAAAAACAAAAAACAAAAAAACTTCCCAACCAAAAAAAAGCCCTGGTTCAGATGACTTCACTGGAGAATTCTACAAAACATTCAGAGAAGAGTTTGTACCAGTACTACTCAAGCTATTTCGGAGCACAGAAAAGGAAGCAACACTTCCAAATTCACTCTATGAAGCCAGCATAACACTGATACCAAAACCAGGCAAAGATGCCACAAAAAAAGATAATTACAGACCAATAGCTATCATGAATATACATCCAAAACTTCTCAACAAAATTCTAGCCAATAGAATTCAGCATCATATCAAATAAATAATACACCACGACCATGTAGGATTCATACCAGGTACGCAAGAATGGTTCAACATTAGAAAATCAATCAATATAACTTACTACATAAGTAAAAGGAAAGAAAAGAATCACATGATCATCTCAATTGATGTAGAAAAGGCATTTCACAAAGTCCAACACTCATTCCTGATAAAAACTCTCTATAAAATAGGTGTACAAGGGAAATTTCTCAACATAATATAGGACATCTATGCAAAACCAGCAGCCAACATCATTCTTAATGAAGAGAGGCTGAAACATTCCCCTTGGGAAGAGGAACAAGACAAGGATGTCCTTTTTCACCCCTCATATTTAACATTGTGCTAGAAGTTGTAGCTAGAGCATTAAGGCAAGAAAAAGAAATAAACAATATTCAAATTGGTACTGAAGAAGTTAAACAGCCCTTGTTTGGGGATGATATGATACTATACATAGAAAACCCTAAAGATTACACTAGATATCTACTGGAACTAATAGAAAGATTCAGCAGAGTACCAGGATATAAGATAAAATACAAAAATCAGTTGGATTCCTATACAACAATAAGG